CCTTCGCCTCTTGGGTTTCCCCCGCTGGCGGGCGCGAGAGCGCAAGCGAGGGCTCTGGCCAGGCTCTCCTGTCTACCTCTCTCCCTCGCAGCCCTTCCCCGCGTCTCCCCGGGCAGGAGCGAGGCGAGGGCGAGGCGGCCCAAAAGCTCGCCCCTTCGGAGGCCAGCCTGGGCTTCTCCAGCGCCAGGAGCCCCGCTCGCTTCCCCCCCCTTTTTTTTTTCCTCCGGGCGAGGCGGTGCGCTTATCGCTCGGCAGAGGGCCTTCCCCCCCCTCGTCTCTCTCTCACTCTCACGCCCGCCCGCTTCGGGGCTGCCACCAAACCGGTTCTGGGCTCCTTCTCCTCCGGCTGAGAGCGCGCAGGAGAGGGGGGGGGAAAGAGTCCCTGCAAGGTAAAAGGGCGCCGTCCTTTTTCCCTCCCCCCGGAGAGGACCCAGGACTCCAAAACTCGCCTCTCCCCCCCACGCACACACACCGCGCGCAAAAATAACCCCCCCTCTCCTCCTCCCCGGTCTCCCGATTATTTTGCAGAGGAAATCATTTGCAAGCAGCCCCCGCTGGTCTGGTTTCCGTCCCTCCGTTTCATCTTGGGCGCCCCTTCTTAGTCCACGGGAAGGATCGGGACCTCCCCCCCTCCGCGCGCCCCTTTAAAAGCAGCGCCTTGGAAGCGAAACCCGCTCCCGGTTTAAGCACCGCTGGATTTGGGAATAAATGGATGCCTTACTCCCCTCACCCTGGTCCCCGACTCGGTTCTCATGGGGTGCATTTGGGCAGGCTCCCTATTTCCCCCCCCCCTTAACTGGGGACGGACTCGGGCCCGCGAGCGAAAGGGCGCCTTTGGTAGGCCGGGGCGGAGGCTGGAAATGGTATCAGAAAGGAGAATATTAGGTGAGTGAAGGCTTCGGGAAACAAAGAATACGCTTCGGGGATGGGGTGGGGGGGAATCAGGACTGAGAATCCCTGGAATAAAAAAAAATCCTATTTATTTATTTATTTATTTATTTATTTATTTATTTATTTATTTATTTATTTATTTACTCGATCGCACTGCCAGCTTGGAACTGTAAGTCACTTTTCTGTATGCCAGGTTTCATTAAAAAGCCCCCCCCCCTCAAAGAGACAATCAGAAACGATCTCATGGGTCGGTTAAGCATGCTCATTCGGCTTTCTCTATTAAAAGCGCGACAAAGCAGAACAGAAATACAGTATCGATGTTTTCCTAGGAGAGGAAGGATCCACTGAAACCCAATTCTGTGTGTGAACGTGGGGAGGGAAGGGTGTTAAATCAAATCAGTGGAATCATCGCTTCCTGGGCTTTTTTCACCATGGGGAATTTTCTGGAGGCCTTTGCCTAGTTTACTTCTAGGGGAAAAAAAACTTATCTGGCTTGAGATATAGGGGAAATCATGACGGCTTTCTGATTGGGACAGCATTCCTCGATTCAGTTAAATATTCTATACATTTTCTTGTTTATAATAAAACTATTCGAATATTTAGGGTCTGTTTTAAAACAATCCCTTTTCAAAAATGACGGTGGCTTACTTTAAAACTTACGGAAGAGCGTGGAAGCCTTTGTATTTTAAATTATCTGCAGGAATATAATACAGGTCTCGAACAAAAATTCTCTAAAACTGAAGAAGTGGTGGAAGATTTTGGAGAGATACGTTTCTCATTCATCTCAACGGCCCTTCACCTGGAAAATTTGTAGCGCAGTTTGGTTGCTTGTCTAACAGATGTTTTATCCCGCCTTTCTACCCTGTGTGTCTGGACGGACAATTTAGGATCCTCCAGATGTGTTTTTGGATCGCATCCCTCTTCAACGCCAGCTAGCATAGCCGAGGGCTGAGGACAAGGAGTGTTGTGCCCTTGGCAATAAATAGCTGGAGGGACGCGAGCGACCCATCCCCTGCCTTCGATCTTCAAGAGCCACCCTGGAAATAATGGTTCTATAGCGCGTATCGTTTATCTAGTCTTTGTAATTGATCTGGGTGTCCTTTACAGTGTACAGATAATTCGTGTGTCATTTCTTTCCTCTCCTTTTCTTTGGTATGAGTTTTCAGCTTTCTCCAGAACGGCAACGTTTAGAACCGAGGACGTCTAAGCCGTCAGGCGCAGTCTCTTACTAGGTTAAATCCAGTTGCAGACCCACTGAAATGGAGGCGTTTTCATTAGCCAACCTATTATGTAAATCCAATAGTTTTGAATAGGATTACTCTACTCTCGTTGGCATTAGCGGGGAATTAAGCCTGTGTGATTGGTTTTAATGTGTTTGTGAGGAAGCATTTGTTTAATGCGTTTATTCATTTTTAAAACCATCTGTTTATTCATTAGTTTATTAATAATTTTTCATTATACTTTGCCTTTTCTCCAAACAAGCGTAAAATATAATTTACACATGTTCCCTGCCTTCAGTGAGTAAGGGTGGAAACTATGCAAAAACACGTTATTAGGCTTGTAATACAGTATTTTTATATGGTTAATATTCTACAATATTAATACATCGTTTTTCTCTGTCTCTTAAATATTTAATTCCTTCCGGGCCCTGTAGCTTCATCAATTAACTCAGGAGAACAGATCGATTCAATTGGATAGTATCGAAACGATACTATAACGAGGCGATGACGCTCATTTGGGGTCGATGTCCTGTTATTAACATTGAGGTGTCAAGAAAAGAAACTTAAATAAAACTTACTTCCAAGTAAACTTTCTTCCTCGGGCTTAGCCCGTTTATTCGGAACTAAAGATGTGGAGTTTGGCCGGAACTTAACATAAAGCAAACGCAAATTGCTTATATATAAATACAGCCGGTGGAAACCATTCAGTGAAAGTAAAGCTGGTTCGGTTTATTTATTTTTTCAAAAGCGAGAAATATTTACTTTAAAACCCCCCCCCCCATTCTAATTAAGTGGATTTTAAAACGGGTTAATTGGGCTTTGAACTCTCCCACTCTAATTAAGTGGACTTGAAATCGTGGTTCGTCCGTCTTATTGTTGTCTTCATACGGAAGGAAACTGGGTGTTCTTTATACCTGTTGTTCTTACATACAACTAGTTCTCTCTCTCCCCCCCCCATACACGTGGTCTCTTCCTTAGGGTGCTGTAATTGCAGCTAATGACTGCATACCTTCAGGCGAACTTGCTAATTGACAGGAAAGCTGCGCATTATTACAAGGATGGAGGTTGTCCTAGATTTACTACCGATTGGAGAGTCTGTGGTTTGTTTGTGTGTGTGTTTATTCTTTTTTTTCCCTC